AGCCAGATTGCACTTCAGGTAATAATTCATTTCTATAGACAAACTCCCTTAATTGCTCACACATAATCTTCTCCAACACCGGTAAGATGCTGATAGGACATAGGTCAGCAAAGAAATCACTTTCGCGTTTTTCCAAACTTTAGGAAATTGACAATTTGATATGCAGGAGTTAACATCTTTTATTTGAGGAATTATGTGTGGACAACAATAACACAGTGCAACAGCCATTCTGGGGGGTGAAAAATTTTAAGTCAGGGTGAAAGTACTAGGTCAATATAGTAAAACCTCCAAAGGGTTTGACGTTCCCAGGCCAAACTTTTATGACCTTTTATATTTCTTTCCTTATTTTGATGTTTGTTTGCTTAGTTTTTTAGTTATAACTCAAGAATCATTGATGATTTCTCATTTCATTCTTCAGCAAGGATTAAGGCTTAGCTAAGGCTTAATAAATAATTTTCATTGACATATCCATGTAAAAAATTAAGTTGGAATAATTTTATTGACTGAAATCTTCAAAAAAAAGTCAAATTTCGAAAAAAAAAAATTAAAAATTCTCTACAATAGTTGCTAGAACGATGCTTTCCCAACAAGCTTTCTATTACTTCTTTAATTCCCTTCCAAGCATCCAATTCAGCCTCAATCAAAATATTGTTGAATGCGTCACTTTTAATAAGCTTTAGTATATCAATAAAGAATATAATTTATTGCGATAGAAAATCATAAGAAATATGTTTGGAAAAGTTGGAATTTTCCACGAAATTGAACAAATGAATGTTATTGTAACTACCTTCTTTAATTTTACTTTTACTGAGTCTCGGTTAAATTAATTTCAAACACAAGAAAACTGTAGCTCGTTTGGGGACAGTTTTGATGAAATTCTTAACAATTCCTATTTTAATAAATCAAAATCAGCTCGATTCCATTGTTGCTAAATTGGAATTAACACAGCATAAATCAGAACAGCTGGCTTCGTTTTTGAAATCAAACAATCTTTTGGCACCCGGTACGAAAGTCAAAGCTTATCGAAGTCGTCAGCCAACACTCCAAAGTTTATTTGTTGTGAATGATGAAAAAACTTCTGCATATTGCTCAGATGTAGGAAAATTGATGAACGCAATGGAAATAAAATATGAAGCAGATGACTGGAGATTATTTATTGACAGTTCAAAACTCAGCTTGAAAGCGGTTTTGCTGCATAAGACCAATGAAAAACCTTTGGTTCCAATCGCGTATAGTACAGAAACGAAAGAAACATATGATGCACTACAACATATTTTAAAAATGGTTAACTACGCTAAACATATGTGGCGCATATGCTGCGATTTAAAAGTTGTAGCATTGCTTTGCGGTCTTCGAAGCGGCTATATAAAATATATGTGCTTTTTGTGCGATTGGGACACAAGATTTACCGGAGCCAATATGCATGCCACGAATGGAAACATAGAGAGCACAGCAGGTTAGAAATGGCCAATATTATTCGTGAACCTCTGGTGCCGAAAGAGAAGATATTGCTGCCTCGACTGCACATTAAACTTGGAATTGTCAAGAATTTCATCAAAACTGTCGCCAAACGAGATACAGTTTTCTTGTGTTTGAAATTAATTTACTCGAGACTCAGCGAAAGTAAAATTAAAGAAGGTAGTTACAATAACATTCATTTGTTAAATTTCGTGGAAAATGCCAACTTTTCCAAACATATTTCTCATGATTTTCTATCGCAATAAATTAATTTTTTCCATCAGGCGTACTATATGGTCCAGATATACGAAAGCTTATTAAAAGTGAGCATTCAACAATATTTTGATTGAAGCTGAATGGGATGCTTGGAAGGCAATTAAAGAAGTAATAGAAGGCTTGTTGGGAAAGCATCGTTCTAGCAACAGGATGTTTCTGTCGTAAGGATGTTAACATCGTTCTCGAAAATTGGCGTCCACATATCCTTGAAAATTCACTATTTACATCATTATCTGGACTACTTCAGCAGACAATTGGCCACTGAATCTGATGAACAAGGCGAACGAATCACCATCGAAAAGGCCTAGACTCTAGAGCAATGTTTATGAACATATAAACTTTGTTCTTCTTTAAGCTAAGTTTGGCCTTAATTTTTGTTAATTTTCATAAAATCAATACTCTTCGGGCAGGAATACTCAGGTCTCCATTTTGGACATATCTTATATTTGTTTTATATATGTATTATTTTTTTATTTATTCGTATTTGTTATAGTTATTATTTTTATAGTTACAATTCTAGAAAAAAATTTTTTTTTTCGAATTTTGACAATTTTTTGAAGATTTCAGTCGATAAAATTATTCCAACTTAATTTTATACATGGATATATTAATGAAAATTATTTATTTAAACCTTAGCTACGCCTTAGTCTTTGCTGAAGAATGAAATGAGAAATCATCAATGATTCTTGAGTTATAACTGAAAAACTAAGCAAACAAACATCAAGATAAGGAAAGAAATATAAAAGGTCATAAAAGAAAAGTTTGGCCTGAGAACGCCAAACCCTTTGGAGGTTTTACTATACTGGCCAAGTACTTTCATCCTGACTTGGAATTTCTCACCCTCCAGACAATGACCCCGAAAATGTTACACAGTGTAATTGATCACTCTAATGCCCAGCAGGACCCATCAAGTCCTGCAGCATTGCTTCCTATTGAGCGAATAATCCTCTCTATGTCCAAATCAGTGACCAATTCAAAATTAAATGAATCTCTTATAATAACATTATACATATAAAAATTATACCAATCAATGTCAGTACACTCGAGGAGGTTACGCTTGCGATATACTTATTAATTTGATTCGCATCAGCTAGATGCTCAGGAATGCTATTAGGTACACGGGTTATAACTCCACATTTTTTCAACCCAACCCAAGGATCTGTTTGGGATTGCATACAATAATCAACAAATGCCCTTCTTCCTCCCTTTATAGCACCTTTTACATAATTCCTCATATCTTTTGTAGTAGTCTAAATCTTTTGTAAGCCTTATCACCAGTTTTCTGCATATCTTTTATAGTGTCGGTTATCCAAGGTGTCGGAGCTCCGTGTACTCTAAAGGTTCTGACTGGAGCGTGAATATCAAAAAGTGTTAAGATAGTTTCCGTTAAAAAGGAAATTTTATCGTTAATATCTACCATATCAAAAATCAAGAAAAANTAGTAATCTTACTCTCCACGAAACCTTCCCTTAACGGTACAGTGGGGGTTTTTATGATGCTCACTTTTTTCTTAACATTCCGGGAAAAAACCTTTTCATTTGTCCACGAAAAATGTATTTATTTTAATATTGTTCAAGTAGGTAAAAAAAATGGGACAAACCTGTATACGAAGATCCTTTGTTCTAAAACCGATAGTTTTCCAAGAATAATAAAATGCACTGGTACCTCAAATATTCTTTATTCAGGTAAACTTAATTCACTGAGTAAAACGGCAATATACGTTTGGAATAAGTATTAATACCATTTATTGGCTATACAATACTCTTTAATTTGATGAATAGCACTCTCTAACTCGAGATATGCTGCAAATAGTCAAATTACCCTAAAAAAAAAAGATCATAGCTCCAAAACGTATCCATAAAAAAAATTTTAAATGTAATTTTTTGGTTTAGGGGACCAAACTAGATAAGAAAAATACAGTGGCGTCAAATGTACATTTTATGAATTTGTTTTTGTAGACTAGTGTTATCTATCAATAGACTTATTGCTTGTTAACTCAACCCTATATAATTTAGTATTGAAAACAACATTTTGTGATTCATTCTATCAAAGGCTTTAGAATAGTCAAGCAAGCACAGTACAGTTACCTTTCCATTATCAGATGCCCTCAGAATATCATCCACAATGTTCAACAATGCGGTGGTGCAGCTACGTCGCGACCTGAAGCCAGATTGCACTTCAGGTAATAATTCATTTCTATAGACAAACTCCCTTAATTGCTCACACATAATCTTTTCCAACACCTTGGACAACACCGGTAAGATGCTGATCGAACGTAGGTCAGCAAAGGAAACGTTAGGAAATTGACAGTTTGATATGCAGGATTAACAACATCTTTTATTTGAGGAATTATGTGTGGACAACAATAATTGATCATTCTAATGCTTAACCCATCAAGTCCTGCAGCATTGCTTCCTATAAAGCGAATAATCCTCTCTATGTCCAAATTAGTGACCAATTCAAAATTAAATGAATCTCTTATAATAACATTATGCATATAAAAATTATACCAATCAATGTCAGTACACTCGAGGAGGTTACGCTTGCGAAATACTTATTAATTTGATTCGCATCAGCTAGATGCTCAGGAATGCTATTAGGTACACGGGTTATAACTCCACATTTTTTCAACCCAACCCAAGGATCTGTTTGGGATTGCATACAATAATCAACAAATGCCCTTCTTCCTCCCTTTATAGCACCTTTTACATAATTTCTCATATCTTTTGTAGTAGTCTAAATCTTTTGTAAGCTTTATCACGAGTTTTCTGCATATCTTTTATAGTGTCGGTTATCGAAGGTGTCGGAGCTCCGTGTACTCTAAAGGTTCTGACTGGAGCGTGAATATCAAAAAGTGTTAAGATAGTTTCCGTTAAAAAGGAAATTTTATCGTTAATATCTACCATATCAAAAATCAAGAAAAAAAGGAATCGCATAAAGTGAGGCTCTATGTTTAAATTACAATAAATTACCTCATGATTCGATAACCTTTCTTCCCTTATCGTACTCGACGTCATAATTGCAAATATGCAACCAATATCACAGTACGCGTAATGCAATACCAATACTGTGATATTGGTTGCATACTTGCAATGATGACGTCGGGTACGATAATTAATTAACAGTGTATATTGTATTAATCTCCTACATACTTCATGTACCATCTTCTGACAATTAATAAAAGTCGGTTAATTACAGAACGTTTTTTATTCATCTTAATAGAGTCATTCTTGGTACAAGTATGATAAAAATAAAATAAAGCACAATTTAATTTTTTTATCAGGATATATTTATCAATTGGAAGAAGATATATTATTTGTACACTAATATACATATATAACATGAACATATAGGTTCTATATTACGTCTGCGTATATAATACATTTAAATAATTATACTAGCAGTAGAAGAGAAACGTTTCTTATATTTTAAATTACCAACAGAAGATCAATATTATTTTATTTTTGTAATAATTAAAATTTGCGCAGCTTACTTATGCAATCGTTTTAATACTACGTTTTTATTAAAACGGTCCTTCTTAATATTGTTCAAAAAAATACATAGTAGTAATATTATATCTTCTGTATACACACGTTCGAAGACTAGTTGGATCACATTACCTAACCTACGCGAAAAGAAACATGATAAAACATAATAATATTTACATCATAAAATTATAATCAGTGACGAAAAATTTTAAAAGTTATGAAGAAATGACTAAATGCAATAAGATTCGAATTAAATAAATAAGATGTTTATTTAATAGTTTGTTGTTCATTATATATAGTTTCTAAAGCTTTTACAAAGTGTATATTATTCAAAAAAAGTGGGTCTTTTAAAAAAATTATAACAGAGATTCGATAATTGTAATAGTAATTGTCAAAGCTCTATAAATATAAAAATACATTTAGATCCAATTTTTTTTCTTTTCTAAGTTGACACAATGTTTATTTTGAATAGTATCATATAATGGTATTTGTACAAAGAGGAAAAATGCCAACTGGAATGATGTAAAAAATCGAAGTTGATTTTATATGTACACTAAATTGTTGAATTAACTATAAATTGATATTAAAAGAAAAAAGTGCAAATATAAATACATACACTAAAAAATATAAACAAAAAAGTCTACTTCTCCATACTACACACCAACAATAAGGAGAAAAAAGTACCTATCATATCGATACGATCGAAAATTATTACAAAATTAAATTACCTAATATAATTAAACGATTATTGTTCTTTCTAAAATATAAAGCAAACAATAAATAATTATCAGACAAACATTTCTTTTTTAAACTTCAGGTACATTTTATTCGAGGCAAGCGTTTTTGTTGATGTCCCTTAGATTTTAATTGTTAAAAAAATTAAATGTTACATTTGTATAGGACCATTGTTGAACTTGCCTCAGTACCTCGTTGGCAACGTACTTAATTAAAAGTAAACACACCCTTGAGTATTTAATACTAAAAATATTGTTAGCGATATGCAACGTTGAAAATGGGTCGAAAAGAGATTATATTAATTTGTGTCTCTTATTAATTAATTAAACTGCTGATACTTGAGTTTCGTCATCATCTGAAAACACAAAAGAAAAATTATTATTTATTATTCGTTGTATTTATTATTCTATGTACTTCTATGATGGAAGATATTTATTAAGATGAGCACAACTTGGCAAATTTATTTTGGTCGGTGAAGCGAATTCGGCTTAATACCTGAGGAGTAAATTGCGCTTCGCGGACGAGATGGTCCTTATTTCGGATAGCTTTGAAGAGATAAAAATGGTGCTGAACGAAGTACAGAAAATTGATTGTATTTAATCAAAATTTATGACAAATCTTGCTTCCAGTTCTGACATCAACATTAGTGGTAATGAGGTTGAAAGGGTTCTATGTAAATCTTGGCTACGAAGTTTGTGTATCGAGCGATAGTCAAACAAGCGAAATAAAAAGAAGGTTTACTGTAGCTTGGGAATCTTAGAGACATTTGTAAGAGCGATATTCCCATATATTTGAATTGTAAGGCTTTCAATCAATGCGTGCTGTCTGTTATGACAAAGAGTTTTGCACTGCCAGGAAGTTCGAAGTTACGCAAAGTAAGATGGAGAGATCAATGCTGGGTGTAACCACATCTGAAATAAAAAACTGGCGTAAATGATGTAGTCAACGTTGTGGTAAAATTCAAATGGAACTGAGCGGGTCATTTTGCGCGGTTGAAAAATGGGCAGTAGACAAAACGGTTGCTTGAATGGAGATTGCAAGCGGACAAATGGTGTAGAGGAAAATCGTCAAACGCTAGACTTTAAAAGATTGACTAACAATTGGATACAGATAGCACAGAAAAGAACCAAATGGAACAGAATAGGGGAGGCATATGTCTAATAATAAACGCGAGGAACTGCTTGATGATGATGCTGCAATATGATGACCAGCTGAGGCCGGTCTACCTAATGGTGGTTTAAACTTACACATTTAGCGAGTGATAATACCTGATATCTGATAATTATTACACTAATGTCCGGCTAGCAAAACATTTGTTCAAAAAGAAGACGAAACTTTTAAGAACTTTGCGAAAATTTAGATGGGAGAAGCTGTATGGAAAAGAAAAGGTCTAGTGTTGGTTACACACTGGAAGGACAAGAGATTGGTGACTATGATATCAACAATGCATAAACATGGAATGGTAGAAGCAACGAATAAAACCAGAGTGTGTTTTCGCCTACAATAAGTACATGTCCGGGATAGACAGATCAGACCAGATGATGGGATACTACTAGTGATGGAACGGATAGTGATTTTGCGAAAAGCCGGATATCCGGCCATTATGGTTATAATTTCTGGTGCATTTCTGAAGTGATACCCAATATTGCCACATTATTACGATATTTGAATAAAACTGAAATTAATACGAAAGCTGATAAGATATGTCAACTTATTTGGATTCAAGATACAAAATGAACTTTTTTGATGCTGATTTAACTAACGAAGCAACTCTAAAAAGAGGATACTTTAATTAATAATTGGTGATATTTCCACAAGGATGCTTCAAGAAATGAATTTTATAGCGAATTTTGAAAGTTATCGATGAAAATTGTAACATCGAAAATTTTATCAAAACTTCAAATATTACAATGAGGAAATATTGTCACAATGAGGTTGCTAATGATAAACCTGATATAAATAAAGTTGTATTTAATGAAAAAGTCCTATTATACTACTCATCGCCAAGGAAAACCATAACATAATACAGAAAAGTGTTCTTTCATCTTATAAATATTGGAATGTGGAATGCCTATTACATATAGTATAAGAAGGAAAGAGTTACAACTAAAATTGAGCTCTTGAGGTTCAGAAAAGAAGTTATAAAGGATATGCTACAGGTCAATGAAGGATATACTAAGCCAACAATCAGAACTCCATCATCTGGAGACAGTTTCCTCTACACAGAAAGACAAACGCGATGAAGAGGTGTTGCCAGTATAGCAGAGGTGGAGTTTACAAGAAATCCAGATACAACTCCAGATATGTACAGAAAACCCTAGTTTGCGTAGATCATAGAGCATGGATGCGTAGATCCATGCTTCAGAATCTGGCACAGTGCACAATAATTATGTTTTGTAATATCTTGGGGTAGCCGTAGTATTCATTTAGAAAAACAAAATAGGGCCTATTAACCTAAGTGACCATCAACTTTACAATGCCGATGAAACTGGATTATATCGACAACTATTATCAGACAAAACCTACGTTTCTCTGGACGAAAAATCAACTTCTGATATGAAAACGGCAAAACAATGCATAACTTTCCTTGGATGCGCAAATGCGTTTGGATCTCATAAATTAAAACCTCTAGTAATTGGCAAAGCTAAAATCTCAGGTGTTTCAAGAATTTTAATAAGCAAAAATGGTTAGATGACAGCAGAAATTTTCAAAACTTGGTCTTTTGACAATTTTGTTTCAGAGGTATTATTAGTAGATGTGTTAGTGAAATAAATATTGCTACAGTTGTTCGAATTTTAGGTTAAGAGATATATATTTCAGATAGATAGAATAGAAGAATTAAAAACTGAAGATCGAATGATATGCGTCATGTTCTTACCATCAAATGTAACTGCTTTGTTCCAGCCCATGGATCAAAACGCATTAAAAATTGCGAAATTATATTACAGAGACACTTCATTAAGTTTTATTGTGTATCATAATGAAAAAACAGTTGGGAGTGGACAGAAAAGAATATCAGTAAAATTTGCTGTGGATTCTTTGTTGGCATAAAATAAGAGTATGATGCTGAAGATGAATTATCGCTGTCAACTTTGCAGAAAATGTAGGACATGAAGTAAAAAACATCGTTAAAGACACACTTTCACTTCTGCAAGACATTCAACCTGTAGTGCAAAGTTTGGTTACACACCTTTATTTTGAAATCTATATTAATTTGTCCAAATGATTTTTAGAGCAACTAGAATTTTAAAGATGTTGACCTATGGAATAGTTTATGAAATTCAAAATATTTCAGGAGAGCAGAATGTTCTTGAAGAAGAAAACGATGTTTTTGAAGTGATACCCAATATTGCCACATTATTGCGATATTTGAATAAAAATGAAATCAATACGAAAGCTGATAAGATATGTCAACTTATTTGGATCCAAGACACAAAATGAACTTTTTTTAATGTTGATTTATCTAACGAAGCAACTCTAAGAAGAGGGTACTTTAATTAATAATTGGTGATATTTGGATCCTTCAAGAAATAAATTTTATAGCGAATTTTAAAAGTTATAGATGAAAATTGAAACATCGAAAATTTTATCATTATTTTCTCAAAAACTAAAAGTTATTTTTCAAAACGTGTTGGTTCATTGGAAAGAGGACACCTTTATTCACATTTTGCGAAATTTTCATACTCATATTCCAAGAAATCGATTTTATACGAATTATTAAAACTTAATCGACGTCAATTGCAAAATTCGAAAAAATTGTTGATCATTTCAAAAATGTATTTCTCAAAAACTAAAAGTGATTTTTCAAAACGGCTTGTTGCGTTAAAAAGAGGATACTTTAATTAATAATTGGTGAGATTTCCACAAGGATCCTTCAAGAAATGAATTTTATAGCGAATTTTGCAAGTTATCGATGAAAATTGCAACATCGAAAATTTTATCAAAACTTCAAATATTGTTTTCTCAAAAACTAAAAGTTATTTTTCAAAACGTGTTGGATCATTGGAAAGAGGACACTTTTATTAACACTTTGGGAAATTTTTATACTCATATTGCAAGAAATGGATTTTATACGAATTTTTAAAACTTAATCGGCGAAAATTGCAAAATTCGAAAAAATTGTCGATTATTTCAAAAATTTATTTCTCAAGAACTAAAAGTGATTTTTCAAAACGGCTTTTTGCATTAAAAAGAGGATACTTTAATTAATAATTGGTGATATTTCCACAAGGATCCTTCAAGAAATTAATTTTATAGCGAATTTTGAAAATTATCGATGAAAATTGCAACATCGAAAATTTTATCAAAACTTCAAATATTGTTTTCTCAAAAACTAAAAGTTATTTTTCAAAACGGGTTGGTTCATTGGAAAGAGGACACTTTTATTAACACTTTGGGAAATTTTCATACTCATATTTCAAGAATTGGATTTTATACGAATTTTTAAAACTTAATCGGCGAAAATTGCAAAATTCGAAAAAATTGTCGATCATTTCAAAAATGTATGTCTCAAAAACTAAAAGTGATTTTTCAAAACGGCTAGTTGCATTAAAAACAGGATACTTTAATTAATAATTGGTGATATTTCCACAAGGATCCTTCAGGAAATGAATTTTACAGCGAATTTTGAAAATTATCGATGAAAATTGCTACATCGAAAATGCGGCCGGATTTTAAAAAATGGCCGGATATCCGTTCCATCACTAGATACGACCAATAAAATAATCCATGCTGACGCAACTAAGTGTTTAGAAACTGCGATACAAAGAGCGGAAGACAATAATATCGTTTTTAGTAAAATCATTTCTTTAAAACAAGTCTACAACAAGTAATAGTCTATTGTACTAAAATTAGTATTACATATAGGTACAAGTTAAGTACATTATGGAACATATTGTACCTGTTCTCCATAAATACTAGCTTATAACATCTCTAATATAAACCAACCTTGGCTCAATTAGTGAGACAATCTAGAACTTCACCTGATATGTATTTCTAAAAAGCTGTAATATTAACTTTTTAGCGAGCGCTATACCTACTATACTTACTATTAAAAGTACTATTAAACCCTTTCTTCTGCTTAATTGACCGGCCAAGATAGATTTGCCAAGCTGTATATGTAACTAAAGATATATTCCATCTTCCATCATGGTAAAAGTACATCAATAATAAAATTATATCTTGAATAAAAACATTTTAATTCAGAAAAAAATTGAATACTCGTTTTGCGTTAACTTAAAATAAATAATGCTAAATGAGCTTTGTTTGTTTTCTTTATGATTTGATTTTTAAGTCATATTTAAGTCTTGTTTCGTCGATTGTTTAGTTACGTCTAATTGTAAGTCTTCTCGCGATTCAAACTTACACCATCACGATTAATGAGTCTACGTCAGAGTCTGAAGATAGGTTGGCACAGTCTGTCAATTGGTCACCTGGAGATTTGAAAAAATCATAAAATTATGAATGTTAAAAAATATATATATATTTGAATGTGTACATTTGTGGAAATATATTTGCAAAATGTTTTTAAATTTTATGTTATAACAACACCATAGTGGAGTAGTATGTGTGTGGAGTAGAGTAATGTGTACCCTTGTGTGTAAAAGAAAAGAAAAATAAGTTTTTAAAGAAAATTCGTGGAAGAGATAGAAAAAGAAAAATTTGAAAAGAAATATTTATTGTACATTGAAGTGCTTACCGTGATCCGTATCAGGATCTGTATGATAGTAGTAACCTTGCGCAACGCCCTCATGTGAATACGCACGGCCCAACCTACGATGGTATCTTGCCATTTGCGCTACTACGCTATATGCCGGTGGTTGCCTTCTGCCTGACCCTACATTTATACAATACAACACAACAAGAACACATTTAAGAAAAACTCAATTTAATCAGAAATCCCTTCTACTTTATTAAACTTTAATAAAACCTTGTACAACCACCACCACTAATATCACCATGATACGTGAATAAACCCCCAAACATTATTTTTTTACACCTCAAACCCAACAAACTACTACTCCACAAAAGGCGAAATTCAAATCATATTTTTAAATAAAATTAATTGCTGTTATTTTGAATAGATATTTGATAAATTAAAAAACCAAAGCTCATTGAGCGAAACGACGAAGGACAGTTTATACAGAGTGAAGCAAGCAATATTCAACTAAGAGGTGGTACAAATTCCGCTTTTTCCGAAATAATATCTTAGAAGCTACGTGTATAATAAAATAGGTGCGTGCATTTTTTTTTTAATGTAGTGATATATTAAAAGCAAGTAGAAAAAACTTACCGTTACGAAAAGCTTGGGGTAAGGGTGGCAAGACCGCGACAGCTTGAGGACACGCAGGGTGCGGGACACCAACGCGCACAGGGAACCAACCTAACACCATATATTACAAGACATATATACTATTTACAAAATACATACAAAGGTAATAATTAAAAGGGGTGTCATGTAAAAACTATTAATTATAAGACGTGAAAATAGGTTTTACTAATAAATCCTTTTAAAAAAAACATAAAAGGATTTATTTTTAAATAAAATAATGCCATAGTATTATTGGTTGTACCAATACTGTGATATTGGTTGCATACTTGCAATGATGACGTCAGGTACGATAATTAATTAACACACTGTATGTTACTGGAAGTTTGTAAAATATAAACATGATTATTAAGTTAATAATTTAAAAAAAGAAATTACAATACATTTTCAATGATATCATACGATCATCTTAAAGTGGTATAAGAAATGTGTTTTATTTTATAAAATCTTTCAGCAGAAAATATTAAGTTTAAAAAGTGTATTGCTCATATGTGATAAGAATTTTATAAAATATGTAATAGTTTAGTAAAGAATGTGGCTATGTAGAGAAGGAAAATGTGGTGGGATGTTGTAAACGATTTTTGTTGTGCTAAGTCTAAACTTAAAATACACTCATCAAAGATGAGATTTAATGATAACTGTTTTATGTGATTATATTGAAATAGTCACATATTTTAGAACATAAGGAAAAAATAATAAAAAATCTGGCTAGACGTAACTACAGTGTGTTAATTAATTATCGTACCTGACGTAATCATGGAAAGTATGCAACCAATATCACAGTATACGCGATTTGCGTATTATACTGTGATATTGGTTGCATACTTGCAATGATGACGTCGGGTACGATAATTAATTATCACACTGTACTTCCAACACGAACGTTGTCACAGACAGAGTACGACCGCCAGTCTTCACATCGTTTTGGTAACGACAGGACCAGCACACTAGCATTTGCTATCGGTAGGTATATATCGAAAAGTTCGATACCGAGAAGTTTATCATTGAAATTGAAGTACGTCCTGTAATTTGGGATTGTAGAATAAAAGAAATATAGAAAAATAAAAGAATATTCGAACAATTTCGAAGCAATAGATAATGGCAGTAAAAATAAAGCAGATATGTTTTTATTTTAATAAACTGAGAGTGCATGAGAGTGAAGTATTGGTAGACGTTTCGGTGATTCCTTCAACGAATCTGGCAGAAAGCTATACAGCAAGTCCCGTATCTTCCGCACCAGAGCATTATACGGTTGTAGGATACATTATTTTGAAGCGATCATTGGAATAAAATTTGCACAGGAACTGTTTAAAATTTGTCCAATACCGATTTAATAAAAGCTTAGGGGAACGCCTTAGGAGATCGTAAATCACACTCAGGCAATCGGTCTTATCCTCGGACGGTCCACCGCGCCCTTTCAAACTAGTTTCGCACGTGTACTCACCAATAGATTCGACACGGAAAGAGAAACAAACTTTTTCCGCTATTGAAGTGATTTTGATTGGGGGATTTTAAACAGTTCCCGTGCGGTTATTATAAACATTTCGGAAAAATATTATTAGAAAGATCGTATAATGTACCGTATAATGCTCTGATGCGAAAGATACGGGACACGCTGTATACATACTTTCATCAATTACTATTTTGACACCCAAAATCTGAAACCAGTCTTGGCAGAGGAAATAGATGCAAAACGATCACATTGTGCAGAGAAAGAACTTCTAAAAACCTTAGCACAAAATCTGAACGAAAAATCACAGGACTGAAACAAAGAGGATTTAAGGACGCCTCACTTTAAAAGCCTCCCTGACTATCTATGTATGTATGTAGCTGCACGTAGGGGTGAATTCTTTCACAATACTTCATTCAGGGGTCAGAAAACCAGCCCAAGGTTTTAACGAATGTTAATATAAAACAAAAGGGTATTGCGTATTGCAATACCAATACTGTGTTGTTGGTTGCATACTTGTAATGATGTAATAATGATTGTAATGATTCGATGATCACATTGGTTGCTATACAAGGTGATTCTCAACCTATACGCATAAACTTGAAGATTTACTCCTAACGACGAATAATGATTACTAGGCGAACAAATTTGTAGTAAAAGATTATCTGGGCAGCAGCATGTAAATGATTTTGCAATATTTGCTCAGTATTAACTTCCGTGACGTACACTTTGCTTTTTAAGTGACCCGACAAGTAAAAATCAAGAGGGTTGAGACAATCGCGATAGCTAGGCCATTGGACCATCTCGACCTATTCATCTTCCAGGAAACACATTATTTAGATTTAGAGAAACTCAAACACTTTACTACAATTTTTTTCATCTATTAGTGATTATTTGTCATGAGGAATAAATTCTAAAGTTTATGCGTATAGGTTGAGAATCACCCTGTATTTATAGCAGTTTCATTACCACACTACAGAAGTACAAACAAGGAGCTATTTACATAGGTAAACCATCATCCTTAATGGATCAGTTGTACATGCTGTTCGACAGAGAAGAAACGCTCTGGTACTCATAGTGACCACTATATTACCAAAGAAAGAAAAAATTGAAGTTTCTTATTACTATTTTCTGATAGTATTTTAAAGAAAATTATTCATTTGGGTTTCGCTAACCTCTAAAGGATGAGTCTGACATACGAAGAATTCAAATTTAAAAATCCCTGCCTTAATAGAAATAATACTCATTTTCTTAATAGAACAAGTAATAGTATGTGAAGCATATATCGTTTGCATCATCGACTGCAGTGATGCTGAAAATAACGTGCAGTTCTATAATAAGTATAAATATGATACGTTGATAATGATAATAATTAATAGTTCATACATGTTTGTTGCGCGCAGAACCATTTACCAACACTGAGCTGGCAGTGAATAGATTGTAAGTATGTCAAAAATTAAAATTTGTGAATTGACAAAGAAGTTTAATCTATCGGAATCAACAGTCACAACAATTATAAAAGATAAAGAAAAAATTCTGGAAGCTGTAAAAAATGCTCAATCTTTGACTTCAAGCATCATTCGTAAACGTCATGGTATTATCGCTCAGATGGAAACAATGTTAAAAATATGGTGTTGATCACAACACGGTGTGCTTCAAGCTAAGCTCATTTTTGAGATTAAAAGAAGAGGTTGGGGAGGCGGTCAAAGATGAAATGTTTAAAGCTAGTAACGGTTAGTATAGCCGTTTCAAAAGTCGTTGTAATTGGCATAGCATCGCAGAAAGTGGAGAGGCGGCAAGTGTCTGGTCTATCTGAAAAAAAAAAGCCTAAAAGAAAACTTTTCCAGGATTTAAAGCCGCCAAAGATCGATTGACAGTGATGGTTGCCGCGAATGCAGCTGGTGACTATTAATTAAAACCTTTTTTTTTAATTTATCGCTCACAAAACCCAAGAGCTTTAAAAAATAAATCTAAAACTGGATTGCCTGTGATTTGAAGTGGAATGCTAAACCTTGGGTGACAGCTTCCCTTTTTGAAGACTGGTTTGGTCATCACTTCATAACTGAAGTCGAACGTTATTGCCAATTAAAACAAATCCCATTTAAAGTGATGGTCATTCTCCTGCAACTCTAATTAATTTCGACCCACGTGTGAAAGTTGTATTTTTCCACCGAATACAACCTGCTTGCTTCAACCGATGGATCAATGAGTTATTTAAAACATTAATATTTTAAAGACGATCGTTTGCGCATCTACATGAAGCTAAGAGACAAAACAATGAGCGTTCTGTTAAAGACTTTTGGAAGTAAATCAATGTTTTAGATGCCGAGAATTATTGGACAATCTTGGAATGAAATTTTACAAACACACTTTAAATGGCACCTGGAAAAAATTGTGTCCATTTTGTTTCACCACTGAAACCCAAGAAGAATCAACTCGATCTTGCCAGATAATGAAAGATTAGAGGTGGATGGTGATGACATGACGCTGGATTCACACAATCAGGAGCTGATAATTGATGAGCTTGTAGAAATGAGTGAGCAAGAAAAAGAGGAAGACATTGAACAATCTAATTCTTTAGACCCGGTTCAATCAGAAGATCAAATGACGGTTGCAAATTTGACAGAAGGCCTCAGTTCAATTGAAAAAGGATTACAAATTTTAGAAAAAAATATACTCCAACAGATGCGTATTTCTACTACAAAACGGGGAACAAAAATTTTATTTACATTTTATTATTATTTTATTTAAAATTTGATCAGAGTAGACTCCTGCAAAGACCAAGAGTGAAAAAAGTTGAGTGAGAGATATATAAATTGAAAATTATTGGAGCAATACAAAAATTAGGATATGATGCTCTCAAGACTAAGATACAGTATTGAACTATACTTAACTGTTCGGGAGCATTATGTTAATGAAGAGTATTTTAAAACAGCAAAATGGGACAATCAAGTACTTGAACATCAAAACAAAACTCTTGATAATGTTGTAAGTAAGCAGTTAATAGTAGTGATGGAACGGATAGTGATTTTGCGAAAATTCGGCAGATTCGGCATATCTATCCGGCCATTATTGTTATAATTTCTGAAGTGATACCCTATATTGCCACATTATTGCGATATTTGAATAAAAATGAAATTAATAAGAAAGCTGATAAGATATGTCAACTTATTTGTATCCAAGATACAAAACGAACTTTTTAGATGCTGATTTAACTAACGAAGCAACTCTAAAAAAAGGATACTTTAATTAATAATTGGCGATATTACCACAAGGATCCTTCAAGAAATTAATTTTATAGCGAATTTTGAAAGTTATCGATGAAAATTGCAACATCGAAAATGTTATCAAAACTTTAAATATTGTTTTTTCAAAAACTAAAAGTTATTTTTTAAAACGTGTTGGTTCATTGGAAAGAGGACACTTTTATTAAGATTTTAGGAAATTTTCAAACTCATATTCCAAGATATGGATTTTATACGAATTTTTTAAACTTAATCGGCGAAAATTGCAAAATTCGAAAAAAAATTGTCGATTATTTCAAAAATTTATTTCTCAGGAACTAAAAGTGACTTTTCAAAACGGGTTGTTGCATTAAAAAGAGGATACTTTAATTAATAATTGGTGATATTTCCACAAGGATCCTTCAAGAAATTAATTTTATAGCGAATTTTGAAAATTATCGATGAAAATTGCAACATTGAAAATTTTTTCAAAACTTCAAATATTGTTTTCTGAAAAACTAACAGTTATTTTTCAAAACGTGTTGGTTCATTGGAAAGAGGACACTCTTATTAACACTTTGGAAAATTTTCATACTCATATTCCAAGAAATCGATTTTATACGAATTTTTAAAACTTAATTTAAAACTTAAGAGGATACTTTAATTAATAGGCTTTAATAGTTCTTTATTGAATCTGATAGAATCGTTTGTAACACAGCAAAAAGGAAGGGGGATGTTGTATGATTGATTAAACTTATGGCATCTATTTGTACACAAAATGTGCTACGCGATTGCATCAGCGCATAGAGTTGAAGTTAGTCAATCTTGAGCAAAGAGTATTAATTTGTGCATTTCAATTATAATAAACTAAACGAATATTGCATGTATGATGATATTGTTTCTTCAACTTTAGTCTATGTATAAATAAAACCAACATACTTTACATTTTAGTACATTACATGAAAATTTAAGGCACTGTATCATTTTATAAACTACCAGTAACATATATAGAAGAAAAAGGAATATTATGGCATTAAAATTCCTATTTTCCCGACAACACCTTTATGATAAAATAAATTAAATTGAAATCATATAAAGATGGACATGAATGATGAGCTGTTTTAAGTTAGCTGTCTAAATTAACTTGCCTTTAAAATTAATAAATTAATTATTAGCAAGTTATTGTTAGCAATTACGAATTATTTCTTACATTTTTAAAAAAGTAATATATTTGTCGCAAATTATTAAGCGTTAGTAAAAAATAAATTCTATAATAATGCGCTACATATTAATTTGTGTAATAATGTATAATGTGTATAATACAACAAAAAGTATTTACAAAATGTACCTACAATAATGTCACCCTACATCCAAATAATTTACATACCTGGTAAAGGAGGTGGTTGTTTTGGAGGACTAGGACCGAGCGTTTGATAGTGTGACACGTCCCCAGAACTGTTGGTGCTGTGCCCAGAATCAGAAGAAGCCACAGAACCTGCATGCAAAACATTTTCGTTTCTCTCTCTCTCTCATAAACTACTTGAAATCAATAAATCCAACAAAAATACTACGAACCCATCCACACATTTTTTTTTTTTTTTTTACATTAAACATCAAACACCACACCAAAAAAAATACAATCCAATTTTAATTAACATCAATCTTACCTGAAGTTAAAGTTTTCCGTAGCGGTAAATTACTCAATGACGTCACGCTACTACTTTCGGCTGATAAAGCGACGGAAGGTAAAGGTGTCGGTGTATCCGAATGCGAACGTTCGTGCATTGCTCGAGTGCCGTTTCCGCCTCCGTTACCGCTACAAACGCTGGAGCTGTGCGAACCGTAACTAGAGTAACTTCCGGTCGCGCTTGGTGCCCTTCGTATCGACGGACTCACCGGATTCAATATTAACGATGGAGGCGGTTGTCTCGATTGATGCGGGCGTGTCTTTGTGTGTTCTGAGAGAGCTAATAATTTTCTTACTGCTTGAGGAGAAGCTGAACCTAGAAATAACAAGATTTTTAATAAAATGTAATGGACTAATTAGTTTAATTTTCTTATTTACTCACCGAATTTAGCAGTTGGCTTTCGTTCATCACTAGCACTACTTGTACTACTCGTCGTTGATGGTGCAGGTGAAGGATGTCTTTTAGGCCTTGAACCAAGTTGACTTGTAGAAGACGTTCCGGTCGTTCCCTCACATTCCAAACTCATTTCGTGTAGTTTCGTTTCATCGGTAACCACCTGAAGGTTATTCAAATACGCCTTAACTCGCCGCACCATTTGAGATTCTTCGAACATTTTTTTCGGATTTGGAGCTGCTGCGGATTTTTTTCTTCTTTTAACCGTCGTCTGTCCCTGGAGGTGATTTTGTGTACTTGCCGTTGTCAATTGATTCAAAACAACCATAGCGTTACTTGCTGGTTGACCCCCTAACTGCAACATTGTTAATAAATCGTACGGAGAACTACACATATTACTAAGACTACGAATTTCTTTTGCTATCATTCGTAATTTTTCGAAATTGACTAGATTTTCCACTTTTGAATCGTTACCTAAATGGATAAAGGTTAAATCTTTTTTGACCACTGGATAAAATGGAATCTAAAAAATTTAACAAAAAAGTTTAATGATAAATAAGATAATGATTTATTTGACTTACAATAGGGGGTTGATCAGAACTGACTAATTGTCTATATTTGCTCATATTTCGTGAAGGATCCATCAATTGTTGTAAATCGTTGAATATCCTTTGATATTTTCCTGGGAGTTTTTCCCAGCTTAGTCGTAAACGCGAAACTGCACCGTGTCCTAACCCGCTTATTATTGCAAACATTGAGTTAAAATTTTTACATTCTTTACATTGTCCTAAATTGCGAAATAAAAACAAATTTAGCTCCTACATTTTTAATTTGATTAATAAAAAAACGTACTTGCTACTTTTATAAATTGTTTTATAATTTTCATTCTTCTTACAACATTTTGTTCGCTACAAACTTCCGTCACAACCCAAAACATTTCTTTATTGACCAATTCGGCAAATTGTTCCAACATTGGTGTGCCATATTTTGAATGTAACGAAAATAAGTCATCGATATATTCCGTAGGTTCAATTTGCCTAAATATATTAAAATCCTTAAAAAGAATTTTGTTATAAGTAATTAATAAAATTTTAATTTCCAATTAAATTTACTTGTAACGTTAATTGCATCGCTACTTCGACGGCGTTCAATTGCAAGAAATGTACGGCGCTCTCGCGGACGAGTTCCGGTGCCATTTCGTCAGGTACAAGCGTTTCGGTAACTCCGTTCGTTTTTAAATAGTACCGGCTACTCAAACCGATCCTTTCGGCCAAATTTTGCAATTGATCTGGTAATCGGCGTTGTTTGATCGTTTGAGTATCGGAAACCGATACTTCGCATAAACTGAAATTACTACTGGGATCAGTCATGCCGAATTCTTGCAGGGCCAACATAACCACTTCGTGAGCCGTTGTTTCCTTATGAACTAAGAGGTATTTGTAACTTTGATCAGGTTTAAAAACCTACAAAAACATTTTTTTATGTTAAAAAATTAATTCAATTTTAACCATTTATGGTATGCCACCTTGGAGACCCCAAAATAAACATTTTTTTGCAATGCGGGGAAAAAAGTTTGCTAAAAACGGGTTGTAATGTGTTAATAAGCAGCTTTTCTAGTTTTAAACATATTTTATTTATTAAGTTATTAAAATTGCACCCAATAGATGTCTGCAATGTTGGGCTTGCAAATCGTGCAGGGTCAATTAGTGTGCAAGATTTCTCCTAAACCGGAAGTCAAATTATAAAATTTCGAGTACGATTACTTTTCTAAACTTAAAAACTAGAATATGATAAGAAATATCATATTTAATACAAAATTAAAATAAAATTTTGGTTGAAAATTGAAAAAGAATGAAAAAATGTAGTTTTCAAATGTAGCATATTTTCTTTGGAAAGCTGTAATCAACGATTCCTGCCCAAAGTTTTTTTTATCACGCCTCCCTGTTACCTAAAATCAAAATACGACGCCACCCTTGCCGTAATTTTATAATAGCTATAATAACTGCAAAAAACTTATACACATATTTCGTAAAAATTTTATTACAAAAGAATAAAATTTTGTTTTCACACACATGCGTTAAGAAAGAACAAATCAATCAATAAGTTGGATGATACTTTTGACAAGATTTCCCATTCTATGTTGAATGGAAGAAAGCGCACAACGTACATCACTAGCAATATTAAGTTTATTTCTATATTTCAATTTTATTGCTACAACTGTAAAAAACGCCCTTCGCACAAATAAGTGCTGGAATTAGTGGTGGATCGGATATCCGGCAACTATTACCAAATATGTTACTAAAAAACCTGTTACTTAGTACTCCACCATTTACAGGAATTAGTATCTCTTTTAGGTGTTCGGCACTGCAGATAATAATCAAGTTCAACCCCAATAGGACATTTTTCATAGAATACAACTTTATTTATATCAGGTTTGTTATTAGCAACCTCATTGCAACAATCCCAATATGATATATAAAATCTCTTGTTGCAGTTTCGTCTATTTTTCTTCTCTTCGCTTGTAATTTATCATCACATTCATTACTAACAGAACTGTCGCTGTTATCACTTTTGATTATTAATTAATGTATCCTCTTTTTAATGCAAAAAGCCGTTTTGAAAAATCACTTTCAATTCTTGAGAAATAAATTTTTGAAATGATCGTCAATTTTTTCGAATTTTGCAATTTTCGCCGATTAAGTTTTAAAAATTCGTATAATGTCCAGTTCTTGGAATATGAGTATAAAAATTTCCCAAAGTGTTAATAACAGTGTCTTCTTTCCAATGAACCAACCCGTTTTGAAAAATAACTTTTAGTTTTTGAGAAAACAATGTTTGAAGTTCTGATAAAATTTTCGATGTTGCAATTTTCATAAATAACTTGCAAAATTCGCCATAAAATTCATTTCTTGAAGGATACTTGAGGAAATATCCAATTATAAATTAAAGTATCCCCTTTTTAGAGTTGCTTCGTTAGTTAAATCAACATCAAAAAAGTTCATTTTGTATGTTGGATCCAAATAAGTTGACATATCTTATCAGCTTTCTTATTAATTTCATTTCTATTCAAATATCGCAATAATGTGGCAATATACTGTATCACTTCAGAAATGCACCAGAAATTATAACCATAATGGCCGGATAGATATGCCGGATAACCGGATATTGGGTCGAAGGGGATGCCGAATGTCCGGCTTTTCGCAAAATCACTATTCGTTCCATCACTAGCTGGAATAGAGTAAATACAATTGCAGCGCAACATTCAAAAATCCATCTTTTCAAAATCATATTTTGCAGTAGAATCATTTTTAATTTCCAAAATTTGCTCTTGTAGTGTTTCTGGTAGCTCATTTATTTTAACATAAAAAGGATCTGTGGCCACTTATAAATGTTTTTATCGCACGAGTTAGGGAAGTAATGCATGAATTTATCGCTGAGGTGTTGTAAATGGTTTGATATTTCATTCTTCATATTATCAGTGTGCTCAAAACCCTCCTAAAAACGCGGTTCTTTTAAGATTGAAAATAATTTAGAAAAGCAGGAAAATTTGCATGCTAAAATTTTGCGATTTCAAAATTGGAATTTTTCAATGTACGTCGTGATGACATCTCTATGATAAATTACGTTCCACTGTAATTTCAAGATTAGTGAATTCAAGGAATCGAAAATATTTGATAGATAAGCCAATACTGCTAGGACAGTTGGTTTTCTGAATTCAACATACAGTTCAGTTTGTTTTTGGATTTCTAAAAACAAAATTACTCCATCTTGAAACGCATATAGATTCTGTGCCCAAACCTTCACAACAGACCGTAAAAAGTCGGCTGTTTAATAATGAATAACGATTACATTGGGATTTTTTTCTTTGACCAACTGTAGGAATCCTGAGCAAGAGCCAAGCATTGACGGCACGTCTGTGAATATGCCTTTCAACTTTTGCCATGACAGTTTATGTTTGTTAAAGAATTCAGAGATAGCTGTCATTATATCAACTCGTTTTGAAGTTGTCGTTAACTCTGTACAAAACAACATTTCGTCTTTGACTGTTTCGTTATATATCAAACAAAAACTTGCAATTGACAACAATGCGCAATATCCATAGTCTTGTCCAACTGCATTGCGAAAAACTTTGATTCTTACACGGCCTCTACTAACTCAATATTCATGTCTACGGCCATATCATCGATGCGACGTTTCACGTTATTGTTAGAAAGCAGTATTTGTGAAACTTTTTGTTTACTTTCTGGTTCAAGAAGAATATCAGCGATTTCTAATAGGCAAGGTTTTTTAAGAGTTTTACCGATGAAGTGGCTTTTGTTTTCTTGGTCTTTGTGATAAATAGCGATAATACGAAGCTTCAAGCGCCTTTTCAACTGACTGAGTATAAGATCCAGTACTATCCAATTGTACGCTTTTCAAACTTGTGGAGTGTTGTACTTTGAAAACCCCTGCTGTATATTGTCGTTCCTAAAAGTTATTTTCTTCTTCTGTAGCTAATCTGTCTGACAATAAGCTTCTACGAGCTTCTTTAGCTTCATCTGTTATGAAGTGCTCAACGTGGGCAATACTACGTGAATCCGCTTTGTGGCAAAACTCAAAGCACAATCTTGCTGTTATTATTATTTTATTCAATAAAGTACAATCAGCGTACAATACATCATCACAAAACAAAGAAAATAAATTACAATTTCAAAGGAGAATAAAATTCTCCTTCCTGTAAAATTTCTTTCGCGTAGCTCTGAACATTTTGGGATTCATTTCCTTTACTTCCAATGGTAATGCATCATACAATTTCACCGCTGTAAAATTGAAAGATTTTTGTGTTTTTATTGTCCGATGGTACGAAATTGCTAAATCTCCTCTATGACGCGTACTGTAACCATGCTTGTTCGAATTGATGGAAAATTCCTCTCGATTTTATAAACGTGTTTAACACAAGCAAGTATAAAACATGCTAATAAAGTCGTAATGTTTAATTCCTTGAATCGCATTCTGCGACTGTCTCGTTGGGACATTGGCAATAGGATTCGTATCGCTTTCTTTTGTAGTTTGAAGATTTTCTCTGATTTAGTTGAAACAACCCATGCCGTTATACCGTATGTCGCAATGCTGTGGAAATACGCAAAATACACATTTCTTGCTTCTTTCAAAGGTAAGCTTTTGACCATAACTTTTAAACAATACAAAAAACCAGCCAATATTTGTGTTAATTTTGTTACATGATCCGGCTAAGTGAGAGTTTCATACAGTGTAACGTCCAGAAATTTTATACTTTGATTTGTTACCTCACCTCCTCGTTTAGTGTAAAAGATCTTGGTTTTATCAGCATTCAGATCGAATCATTCAGAAGTATTGTCGGCATATAAGCACATAGAGCTTGTTGAAATATTTTCTGTTAAGTCATTTATATACAAAAGAAAAAGTAATCTTTTAGTTCAGATTGACGATCTTTCCAATACACGCACAATTTAGTAATGAATTTTAGTATAGGAAAATCTCGATAATAGGGACTGATATGGGGAAGGGTGTGTCCGTTATAGCCAAAAGTTTTAATACACACAAATTCGGATAGCTATCCACATTGTTGCATTCATTACCTGGCTTTATATTTTTACCAAGGATGGTAGAATCTAAAAGGACTGCTACATCTCGGGAACAGGTGCATAGCTCGAAGAACTATCCGTGACGTCACACATAGGAAGCAACTACCATTTCACTTTTTAAATGCTTTAAATTAGCAAGTGCTTAATTTATTCTATTCATGTTGTGTAATGTTATTTGAGTAGTTTGAGACTTAAGGTTCATAATATAAAATAAAGATCACTACCCCTAGAAATTGGGTTTAGCTTTACGTCTCTTAAGATGGCTAAACCTGAATGTTTCTAGGTCTAGTGTGAGTTTCACTTTTAGTTCAATAAAAATATACAACAATCTAACGGTGAATAACAATTAAAACTAGAACTTCCGTCCTTGATTTATACATCGTATAGATAGACAACTCGGGGAATATCGTAAGTTTATCTATGACCATGAAATAGAGCAACTTGAGGAATAACCCGAGCTGTTTTACTGTACTAGTATTACTTCCATAATGCTTGTTAGACCGTCATTAAAATTGCAAGCAGCAATATGGCACGCAACGCCAACCACTTTCTTGCCACTGTTAACAGTTTTTGGTGCCATAGACCATAACATAGCGCTGTAATTTTCATTACTGTTTTGTATGTATCCCCGTTTTGTAACTTCTCTGGAAACCTCTTCATATACAGGTTTCACAATGTTGAAAACATCTTTGTCCATTGCTGGCTTGTAGGCGTACTCGTCAATTTATGACAAAGTACACGCTTTTTGCAAGAAACCTCAATGTTTGCGATATAATGTAGCCAATCCATAATATACGAAAATTTCATCACTTAATTTTCCTTTGTCTCCCAAAAAACATCAGAGCTCTATATTTTTGCATTCTTTTTTTGTTACTGTAATATTTTCGTAGGGTTTCGAGTCCATAATACCTTTGAAAGCTTTGTTTTCTCCGTTTCCTATGTAAAAAAAACATTTTTCCGGCTGGCGAAGATTTGAGGCGGTCCTTTGTATATGGGCCAAAAGCTACATAATAGGTTGCCACGACGGTAGCGCGCTACCTTTCTTATTGAAAAACGTGTTTTATTCTACACAAGAATTTTTAATCTGCAGAATGGATGATATGTGATTGGTAAATTGTAAGTATTTTGTAATGTTTACTATTGTATGCTGCTTATTTATTGTAATATGTGTTTGACAGAATATATCAAAGTACCCTTAAAATTGCCTAAAGAATTACCCCCTAAAGTTTGGGCACGTCATTCAGATACAGCCTGTATATTATCTACATATAACGGACACTTTGAAACCCAAGCCACGTTGAGATGTTTCTAAAAAATTAATTTCTGTTCCACATTCTTTGCAAAAAAAATGCAGAACAACATCAATAAAACGGTATCCAAAAACTGCATCAACGTTCATGTTGTAGTCATCTCCAATCATTTTCAACTTGTTGGTTGTATTGGTCACACTTTCTCCTTGATGTTTCAGAACATGACGGTTGAAAGGTTCTGCTATGTACTATACGTCTTACTGCATGATATGAAGAACCTTGCTCATACTTGCAAATATATTGTACACACTTCATAAACACTACTCGTTTTTAACTTTCGCCGTTGAAATGCGCAGAAAAAGAAAACTGATACAAATAAGAAGATATCCCGAATATTTATACCAAATATTTCCACAACAACCTCTTTTAGCATATTTGGTATTATCCCATCGTTCGGTAGAAATTTTCTATAATAATGAATTTTTGTGATGTTATGGTTTTTTAGTTACTAGAAGCCTATCTGAAGACTATATTAGAGGCCGTCAGTGTGAAAATTGTGTAACCCCAAATTATTTAAGTAGGAGAGAATGGGGATTTTAAATTTGGTAAATATTTTTTTGAATTTAACTTCTTTTGTATAAAAAGAACTTTCAAATTTACAATTGCTGTGTATTATAAATTCTTGCAATTATAATATTTTGGTTCAATTTAAAATAATAAACAAATTACATCACTTTAGGACAAGTTTATAAAGAAATCAATCAAAATACGTAGTACAAGAGCTATTTATCATCTGTCTCATCATAATACACCTCCTCCCTGACACTGTTGGAGCAATTCAGGTTGTTATAAAAAGTGTGATGAACTGGCGGGATGAAGTGCACCAATTCAAGAAGGTCCTTTTTCTTTTTTCAGCTATGGTTGGTTTTTCCTATGCAAATAGTTGTGTTATGGTCACTGACTGCCTTTTTTTTAACACTGACTTCGTTAAAGAGAACATCTTCCTTGTTAGAATACTTGTAAAAATTTGAGAATTGATGAATTTTATGGAATCTTAGCCACTGAACTTTTAACCACTCCATCTTAGTGTTACTAACCGATTTTTTTTTTTGTTGGTTATATTTTTTTCCAGGGAAAGGAAGCGTTTTCGCCTTTTGGAAGCGAAAACATCACTTGCACTCATTTGTATTATCTTGAATGGTTGCCTTTTAATTACGTGCCGTTTTAATTACTTCGAGATAGTTTTCTGGAACGTATATTTCTTTAAAGAATTTTTTATTTTTTTCTATTAGACCAAAATCTTAGTTACATGATAAATATGAATATCCACTAACCAAAAATTTATGGTCTATTTCTTCAATAGTAAAGTCCGGCTGAGATATAACATACTGACAGAACAACGACATCTTTATGTTTCTATGCTGTCCCCCACATTGAACAGAATACATGACTACTTTTTTAGTAGTCACAAAATTTTTAAAATAGTAAAGCAAACTAGGTCCAATTTCTTGGGGTTCTCGAGAAGCATCAGATTCGTCCCAAACAAACATGGCAAAAACAAACAAAGTAAGAAGTCCAAAGCTGTCGCTTGTAATACACTATTCCAGTACTCAACACAGGGGTAGATACGGTTTTCATTAAGTCAAAGGTGATTACAGTGACGTCAGCAGATGATTTTTCCAAGGTCGTATCGTCTGTTAATCCTTGTCTGGCACTGTCTGCTTTCCTCTGGTATAATTCTTGTTCACGTTGCAATTCTTGTTTTAGCTGTTCGCTCGCAGCACATTTAATTTTGTTATGAAAGAGATCACTTTTTTTGTAAGAATCACTGATGGGTGCATGAAAACGTAGTTTAAAACATTCATTAAAAATTTTACTAAACATGAAAGATGAGACAGATTCAAGTGTATTTTTTGAAACTGACAGGGCGAAATTTTGGCGTAAGCTACAGACAAACATACTGTTGCCATAGTGCAAAAGTGGTGTATTCAACTTACACCACTTTTGCTCTATTACTTTTTATATTACGTTCTGTACAAAAACGATTTTTCAGCTCCATCTGCTTTTGAATACCAAAAGGTGGCTTACTTTACTTTTGTACAGAGAGTTGGTAATGTAAGGAATGTATGTAACACCAGAACAGCAAACAACAAAAAATGTGAGTTTCACCACTTTTGCGCTGATGGCCTCAATTTATTTTTTAATGTTTTTAATGTATTTTAATTGTTTTTAAACAGTAAGATAAAAATACCTTATGCATTTTAGCTTTTTTCACAGTAATATAATATATGCTCGAGTAAAAAGGAAAAACAAAGAGGTTACAGGTAGAGTTACGTAAAAAAACTTCTTTTAATTCCAAAGGTGGCATACCCAATTAATTGTTATTGATAATATTAAACTTACCTTTAATACATGTTCAGGGTAATCTGTACATCTTAAGTCATCGTAACATATCGACATAAGATCAGGATTACTTTGCGATTGATAAAGATTTGTAGTCAAAGTAGTTGGTTGAGAAAAATTATCAACTTGATCAGTCCCAATAGCTACACTATAAATTAATTTAAAAAAAAATAATAAATAAAAAAACATTGAATTAACTTAAACACTTACTTAATACTTTTTGGTAAAATATTCATTTTCATTAAAGCTTTTTGAAGTCTTCTCTTAGGACCAAGTGTCATAAAGCTCATTTTCTTGCTTTCTTTTTGCGGACTATTTATAGTAACCGGTTGTGAACAAGGAGTAGTGTCCATTGTTAAAATAACGTTGCCGTCCACGCTTGATAATCTTGCTCTGGGGTCGGTTTGTATTTTAGGAATGTCCGAAGTTTTTCGACTTCTCGGTCTCGGCGAGTTATCAGGCGTGTTGAGCATCTCCTTGAAATGGAGCAAGTTGGATTTGACGCTAATGCTTAAGTGGGTCGACCCCTTTAAAAGTTCAAAAGCTCGCGTATGCGTCATGTGTTCGAAACTTTGGCCGTTCACTTCAAGTATTTGATCTCCCCTCTTCAAACCGACGTCTTCCGCTTTAGATTTTTTGTTCACTTTAGAAATAAAAATGCCGAAATTCCTTTCGTATCCGCCCGAAATTTCGAAATTGAGGGATTCGTCGCGATTTGACCTCGCCAAGACGATGTTTCTTATACGCGCTTTCGCCGCACATGCTATGTTTAACAATCTTAATTGACCGCTCATTTTTTCGTTTTCTAAACCTTGTTCGAACGTTTCAAGAAATTCAATCATATCAGGATCGGTTTCAAAATCCGTAAAATGATTATTAACCCATAATAAAACAACCCTTGTAACTCTATCTCGTACTTCTTGATCTTTAAACCAATCTAATAATTGATTGGCAACGTGAAGTGGACTCGGTATAAACGTACGATGAGTTAATAAGAAATCTTCGACGTACGTAGAATCCGTTAAATTATTTTCTTCGACCAATTGCTGCATTAACTTCTCGGCCGTTCCTCTAATTACTACGTGTCCCCTTCTATTAGCACCTTGAGTCTCTGAAGATCCTCTTAATTCTGTTACCATCACTACTTGACCATCAACTTCATGCCGCACCGTATTTTCTTCTCTTTGATGTTGTATCCTGTAATAATCTTGTTGCGTGATACACACAAATTGACAATCATCGCATCTCGTTTTCATCACTCCTTTATGATACAATTTTTCCATCGTTGGCAAAATACCGAAAGCGTCACCTACATTGAGTATTTGAGGTTCCTCATCAGCAATAATTACCTCAACGCAACCGTTTACTAAGACAGACCAAGAATCTAATTCTTCTCCGTCATTCATTACGATGGTGTTTGCTTTTTCAACTACCGCAAACACCATAACCTGACACAAAGCTCTTCGTACCGCTAAGGTCATGTTCGTGAACGCTTTTAAGTGTTGTGTGAACTCTAATAGTGTTTCGATATCTTCTTCGAGTCGTTCGTTTGGTTCTTTTTCGAGGCAGTCTCGTATTCGATCTCTTACTGTTAAACTCTATGAGAATTAAAGAGAAATGTAATAAAGTAAAGTGGAAATGTATAAAGAAGAAATAAAATGATAGATTAATTACTTTTTTTTTATTAAACACACTTATTTGATGGTAATATAACATTGTTAAAAATGTGTTTAGAAAGTTGCGAAAAAGAACAGGTATGGTTGTAAAACTGTGAAAGGAGAACCTTTCGCATAAAGAAAAACGAGCCTTTCCCAAACGAACGATAAATTATCCTTTAAACGATTGATAGACTATTAGTTTAGAGAGTTTAATGTTTAAAGAGGCCATACATTCTTGGAATTACTTTATAATAATGATGTTTAAACTTTGTTTGAAATATTACTTCATTTTTACATAAAATGAATTAGGTTGATGCACCAAAGAAATTAAGTAGAGTTAGATGTGGAGAAATGAAGTTGTAGGACTGGATCAATCACATTTATGGATAAATATGTAACACCATAGAAAAATTAAGGTTGGATAGATTTGACGCAGGATATTAGTCAGAGAAAGATTGCAGCGAATAAATTATTGTCAACGATACGCAATGCTGAATAGGTTTAATAAAACTGTTCAATTTCAGATGAGAAGAAATTATTGCTACATGTTAATAACAGTAAAAACGAATAAACATTGGGATAACAGAAAATAAATATATACATAGCAATAATTTCATATGAAATATGTCGATAAAACGGATTTCAACAAATAATTTGCGAGCCTTTATAACTGCTCTCTATAAATTTATTAGGTGAATAATAAATAATTTATACAACTACCATATTTGTAACCTATTGGTGCCATTTATTAAAATCTGTTATGACCAAAGAATGATATTTAAATTTTATCGCATGAAATAAATTACCTTGATATGGATTTAAAATATCTGTGACATTTTCCTCTTTTTCTGTAACAATTACTATATTTTTCTAAAGTTCCCTATGCACACCTAATTACAAGAATATCTTACGTCCTGGTTTACAACATTTACATTTTATATTTGAGTTACGCTCACAGGAATAAGTGTCACCATACCTGTAATCCCGAGATGCCTAATTTCTATAGTGTAATACGCAGTAGCAATATCAACATTGTTTGTGTTCTTCAATCATTCATGAGTTAACATCAACATTACATCGATGCACTAGATCAAGTATAAGTAGTAAATGTGCACAAATTAAAATCTCCTTACTTTATAACTACCTATATCTTTAAATCTGCTTGGTGATGGGAAATATATAATACTTTATAATTGATCAACACGATTAGGAGAAAAAGTTACAATTCAAACAAAATCTTCTGCTTTCATCAATATCTCATAAAATAAAGATGTATATTATACAAAATGGAGAGTATCCGCACCAACTCGATTTGTTTATGCAAAATAAATGTCTCGAATTGAAAATGTCGCCTCTTGGGAAAATTCTGTTAGCTGTTTTCTATGATCCGTAGTACATCCACCTCCATTTGCCAAGATTAAATTAATGATGCTATTAAAGCAGAATTTGATTGTCATCAAATCAATTTGGCTCCTCATTGGAGATCTCAAGATGCTCGCTCGATCTATCAGATGTCCAGTGAAGAACAACACCCAGTAAGTTGAAACTGCCATTTTATTTGAATTAGTTGAAATTGCAGTGAAATAACAGGTAAGTCAAGTAGAATGTCAAGACAGTAATCTTAGATGATTGGAAAACTAATTGGCTATAACAGGCGAAAAATCCAGATTGAAACATACAAAAATAGATATTATGTCTCAGACGACTTTTTGAAGTTCTGGAAACAAAATTTTAGAGAAAGCAAGAAGTATGTTAAATCTTTTAGAATGAGTTAAAAGACTTCACAACAAGCAGAAAAAGAAATGTGCAATTCACTTAAATATGAATTTTTCTTTATTTACTCTTTTCAAAGATAAATAAAAAAGATTTCCCTCAACTAGTCCTTCATCACCATCCAATTTACCATTCTCGCACATAAAGTGTAGAAGACCTTAACCTACCACAACCTCTACTGCACAAAACCCTATTCTTTGTTATCACTCTCAAGCAAGTTTACCAAATATAAACTTAACTACAACCTTTCCTTTCCATTTAAAATCGTCCAGTTTGAAATAATCCCATACAAATTAATATATGTTTTCAGAGATGTTAATCAACCTCAAAAAAAAAAAACATTTCCAAGCGACTAACTGCCACATTCACAAATAGAATCACCACAATATTTTTTTAATTGCCAATGCAGATAATTATGAACCCTTACACAGAGTGACAGTTGAACTACAGTGAAAGAAAAACTTACCACGTTTAAGTAGCCGACGGCATCGAAAATAATAAACCAAACAATGATAGCAAATCAGCGAGATTTTTGTGCATGATAAACAACTGGAAGAGTATCCTCGGGAATGGCCGGCAACATCGAATGTGATAATGAAATATAGAATGAGGGAAACGTACTACTTAATACAAACGGGTTGAAGATTCGCAGTGGATAGGGTTTACTCACAACGTTTATGATTAACACACCGTCAGTGAAACTATTGGATAAATGAGCAATTCGAGAGTGATGGATTATGAGGGAATTATTATTGTATGTGCTAAATAAGTTGGTGCTGTTGGAACACAAGAGCTGGGTTGTAAATGATAGAATGCTTAGCATAATTGTTAAAAAGGTTATGATTCCAACAGTAATACAAAGTAATGTTAATATTTTAGAGATTAGAGTTAAAACACTGCCGTTATGAAAGTGTTAGCTTGTGCTACAGTACAAAACATGCCAAGTATACACAAAAATATTGTGCTATAAAACCCACTGTATCAGATGGGTAAACACCTAACAATTAGAGAGGATGCACAGAAAAACAATATACAAGTGCAGAAAAAGACCTACAATCAAGTAGTTACTGGTAACTCTGAAAATATAAACTATTAATAAAAATCAAGTCCACAAGCAAGAAGTAACGTCTCCATCCAAAACTGTCTTTAACGAATAACGGAGAAATTAATTAAAATGGATGAACATATGAAGTTTTGAAAGTAGTGCTATTTACAGAAATCGTAATATCGTGTAATCTTATGGAATGAAATGGAAATGGGATATTGCAGTATCAACAAAAATTGCAAGCTGTAATCGACGGTAATAACTACTTCAAAGAAATTAGGGACCGTAATTCTGAGAAAAGAAGGCTGATAAGAATCTGGCATTAAACTAGAATACCAGTCGATAAAACTATACTAAATAATGCCATACAACAGCTCAAAAGAGAAATTAAAAAATTTAAAAATAACACTGCATTCTGGAGAGATAGTATAAGGCTAAAAAGTCCAATCCAGCAGAATCTACCAAATAAAAACGCAGACAGTTCGTGGGGAAAAAGTAATATGCAAAAAGCCAACAGATATGCTTAAAATCTTGACGAGATTTTCCACCTGAATCAGGGTAAAGATAATCTCGACTGGGAGAATCTTATCCAAGAGAAATGTGAAATCAGACCCTTTACTTTAAAAGAAATAGTAATAGAAATTAAAGAAACAACATTAATCTGAAAAAGAACTGAGAGTTGACAATGTTGAAATGATAATGATTCTTCAACTCGGAAAATCACCAAATGTAGTTTTATTTTACAGGCCTATCTGTTTGCTCCGTGTAATTTCAAAACTTAAAAAACATCTAAGACATTAAAACCACTTGTTGAAGAAAAAGTATAATCCCAGATTATTCGTTTGATTTCAAAAAGAGTCAATCAAATTTACAAGGTCACAAATATAATTACAAAGTCGCGGGAAGAGAGAAAAGTTTGTTCTACTGTATTCTTAGGTCTTATATCTCAAATCGAGCCTTTAGGGTTAATCAGGAAAACACTTATTCTGAACTTAAAGCAATTAACGCTGGAGTACCACAAGACAGTGATATTCCTAAATTTAGTGTATTCTGCATTTTTGTCGATGAATTGTCATTTTTGCCAATGATACTGATATAAGATCTGTGGGCAAAGATCACGAAGAAGCTGTAAACAATAACAAAAGAAAAATTAGACATCAAATTTATAGTCAACACTCTTGTAATATACGAGGCGTGTGCGGAAAATAAGTGCCGTTTTGATCCACTGTATTGCATGAGATTGTCACAAAAAGATTAAATTATCGAAAATTGTGTTCCCGTTGGGTTCCAAAAATGCTCACTGATGTTCACAAAACGAAGCCACTTGGAAGTGCTTTGACATTTCTTACTAGATACAATGATGAAGGAGATGAATTCTTAAGAAAAATTATGACCGGTGATGAAACTTGGGTTTGTCATGTTACTCCAGAATCCAAACAGCACTCGGTATCCCCCAAAAAAACAAAAATTTAAGACAACTTTGTCGTCACTGACGGCATCTTTCCATGAAGAGAGTATAGGAAAGTTGATTGTCCGCTACGACAAATGTCATATATTAAAAATAGTTTAAGACATGCTCTTACATGCAAGAATAAATTTTATTTTGAAAAAATATTTTGGTGTTTTCTTTTTTAAAACGCCTCGTATAACAAAGTACTTTAACTATAAACAAATTCTTAAATCTGTAAGGACATATGGCATCCAGATGAGAGATTGTGCCAGTAAGAGGAATTTAGAAGTAATCCAACAATACCAGTATAAAATGGTATGTAGCATTGTCAATGCCCCTTGGTAATACAGAAATAGTGACCTCCGTAAGGACATGGAAATGGACACAGTTAATCAGCCCGTTAGTAGATTCGTCAAGAGTCATCAACAGCGACTACTTCATCACAAATACAAAAAAAAACATTTTTACTAACATTTTACTGTGGGTACTTAGTGAGGATATCACTACCAGTAATTTTACAGATATCTTAATCTATTTTAGCAATATTTAGAGAAATGATTATGATTATCTTTGCGTTGATCAGAGATGTATATTCATCGTACATATAAATCTTGTAGCTAAAGAAAAATAATTGATAAAACTATTAAATTTTTGTTGTTATTGACTACAGTACGTTGAATTAAATTATCATACTATGTGGTTTAATATCTCTAATTGAGAGATTTCTCATTCTTTCTAACTCATTCCGTATAAAAGTATGTTAAAAATTATAATCGCAGCCGGATGTGTCGCAACCATCACATGCCCTGAAGGATGGAACAGTTTGACATGAAAAAATAAAGAACGTTTCATTATGAAAATGTTGAAATATGTGAATAATTATGTAAATGAAGTAATTTACTTTCCTTACTCAATAAACTGGATCAACCAATGCAATTATTAGTTCGGATTAAGGAGATTGTACGTACAAAAGTTTATACAACAATAACAAAAAAATTGGAAAGGTAAAATACACGATAGTAGGTCAACAACTAAGAATTAACAAAAAAACTTTGCAAAAACTAAAATCGTCTTAAATGATAGACTAAATCGATTAGCAACTGAATCAGATTTAAAGTTGAATCGATTAAGAATTAGAAAGGCATATAGTTATAAAAGCTCTATCATTCTATTTTTTGTAAATTTTCTGTGACTTACGCTGGCAAGTTCGTCATTGAGGTCGTCCTCTTCGTCGCTGTCGACGATGCTCTCAACGAGCCCCGTCAGGTCGAGGTCGTCATTGTCCAGTTCCGAGTGCGTCGAGGCCATCGTATCCGAGCCGCTATACGCGGAACTGGTGTCCGAAGAGTGCGAACCGCGGCTGCACTTTTGGTAAAGGTGCATCGGCCTGCCGGAACCCATCATCTGGGCGAGTGCCGCCTCCTCGTACATATTTAACCGCCCGTGTTGGGGGTGTTGGCCCCCCGAACCGTGATCCATTATCGGAGAGTTTTGTGACAGTCTATTCTCCTCGATATCCGGATAATCGATCTAAAAATAAAAATAAATCAAAAATAGTAATTTATTACAATACAAAAAATTAAACAATAAAAATGTTGTGTTGTTCCCGACGAAGAGAAACGTGCATATCAACAGTGAAACCTTTGTAGTAAAAGAAGCTTTGAGATTATAAATTTCTATTTAATGTATAACTAGGAAAATAAATATGATAAGACGATAAGGCTACCGAGAAATCAAATTTTTTTATGAAAATTGAGCTTGATAAACAATTTTTTATTATTGTAGTTGATATAAAGAGTGTTTTGTGCTATAATATACCTCTGGTTCTATAGTAGAACTGGGCCAAGAAAACGAATGTCTTCCTCTGTTCTTCCTAAATATCACCCTGTCATTAGAACACGTACTTATTATACTCTTTCGCCGAATTTTCACTGAAATCATGCTACATCTTCGTTTCACCACGTATTTATCCGTGTCCAAAATTGGATGCACCGAATGTTTCAACATTTTTCTTTTGTTATAAGTCTTTAAATATAAAAAAATTCATAGTGTTTCTGTAATAAATTAATCGAGCGATTTATAAACGATACTTTTGATTTAAATTTTGGTTTCATAACATTGCTATACATAATAGAAAATAGATCATTGCGTAATTTTATAGTGGTAGTTTCCTTGTTTTCGAAGCGAACTCGTTCACGTTATGGTAATTAGAGAAAGGTTATAAAATAGAAGAAACTACACGGTAAAGTACGAGCACACGTACAATAATAATAAAAGTGGGCTAATTAAGATTATCGTGTTACATTCTCTGGGAATTTCTATATAAAAAAGCTTCTGGCAATTAGTGTTAATCAATTTAAACGATTTGATGATTTTTTAATATTTGTGTATTAAATTTGTGTTCATAAAATCTCTTTCTATAACTATTCCCTCCCAGCTGACAGTCATAAATAGACGGGATGGTTTCGGAGTTAAATATAGAACACACCCCCTTTAAGATACTAATTTATGTCGTCTGAAGAAAGACCGTGTGAAAAATTAGGATTCATTTCATTAGAAACAGCCTGTTTATTTATCTGTGCCTTCCGGCACTTTGAAGTTGACTTTTTATAATAGAATTTATCAAACAGTAAATATACCACCCTTAAAATATCAACGAAATCTTTATTCCAGCTTTTCTTTAACAATAGTGGCAACGAATTTATCATAAACAAAATGAAAAATTTTCTTATCAGTTTCCGTCCGTTGTAGATAATTAAATGTATGCAAAAACTAAATTATGTTATGGAGTTGTTCTATGATTTTAATTTTGTATTCTTTTAACAAGACGCAAAATATCGATTTAGTCTATAGACTGTTATTTCAGCATGTAACAAAATCTTTACGATGTAAAACAATACGTTACCCTTTCACTTGACATATAATATTAAAATATTTTTTTAGTTTAAAGTACTTTACAATGAATTAATTAATTTTTGAAACGAAAAGAATAAAGAATTCGGATAAGACTACGTTTAGTCACAATTAAATTGTTGTATAATGTATAATGGGCGGTTATTTTTAGGCGTTTGATTAAGGTAACACCACGTATTGAATTATTAATAAGTTAAATTTTAACAAGAAATAACACCCACAGGAAATAGTAAAATGCTAATCACACCCCTAAAAGAATTACTCCCATAATAGGAGTTACTCCTAAAATATAATTTGCATATTTGTACATTATTAACCTCATTATTTCGAAATCTTTATCATCATAATAACCAATTATGTTCGTTATACATAATTAGCAATCAAAATCGTTACTTAAAAACTTTGTCTGACGTAAAAACCACGATAATTTTAATTTTCAATTTAATCCGATTTCTCTTTTAATCAAACTTCAATTTCACCTCAACTATTTATAGCAAATATGAAATAAAAATTTACAAAAACACCATGAAATCACTTTTTTTTATTAATTTAGCAACATTTTAATAAATCACTGATAATCCAAGTAATGCAGGTGTGTTAACATCCCAAGATAAGTAGTCCGAATGATTTGATAAAAGGCGAATTACAAAATCACATTGAACGAAGAATTTCTAAATCGGCGAGTTTCACCGAACAACACACGCACTAACATAGGTTTTTTTAATGAATTCTTCACCATAACAAATTACAACAACGCGTTCGTTTCGTTTGGACGGTTCAACCATGAATGTGGTGATATCTTGAGTGTGGAAGCAGCGGCGTTGGTGGTGTTTAGTCAGGACCATCCAGAACGGAAGGTCTACTTCCTGTGTTTGATGCATGAGAGAAAAAAACGGACGCCCGCCACTGAACTGTTTCAGTCGAAAAGATAAAAATAGTTTCTTCACTAGTGGTATTATAAGATGAACCGAAAATTTTATTACGTCTTTATCCATTTATTTTTAAGAGGTAATTTATTAAAAAAACGTCTTTATAATTAAAAAAAATAAAAAAGTGATAAATTTATTGTATACGCCTCTGTTACTCAAAACGAACTGACTACACACAGCTGGAGGTTTCACTTGGCCGATGAAAGATCCCACTCTTTCTCTACACTACGAGAGCAATTACAACCGTTAGTTCAAGTAACGAGGGTGATTTAGCAACAAATAACTACGAAAAACTAACGTTCTCGTACTCATCCTGAAATTTATGAGACATTATGGGCAACAAATTTAAATAAAATACTTTCTTAATGACTTCTTTTAAAAAAGTTTCTTTTAGAAAATCAATGCCTTATCTTGGTACCCATTTTTGATGAATTCTGTGTGTCTTTTTTCCGATATCGACCAGTTCGAGACAGGTTAACAGCTTTCACATGCTTCACCTGAATACTAATAATGTCTGGCTGGTGAGAAGGGAAAAGAAAGTGCACATGGGTCGACATTGAAATTGTAAATGCGACACTGGCGCGTTGATCGCGTGTCTTAGTTCTTTTGTATGAGAAATTTACAATTATAATTAAATCGTATACAATCTGATCTAATTTATTTATAGTTACACGTTTTAATAAGAGATATCTACTCATTCCACGTTGTATAATAAAAGTATCAGTTCAAAATTTGTTATTTAAATTGCTAAAATAAAAGCAATATTTATTTATGCATCGGAAATTTTCTTGTTTTTTTTTTATTAAAATGTGAAAATCTGATGCTAAAAATATGAAGACACAAATTAAACTTAAAAAAAATTAAATAATATGGTAGTTGAAAAGAAATCAAAAATTTTATTATGCAAAACCCATATTTAAAAATCTGCTATATAAAAATTAATATGACATTTGAGCTTTTACAATACCACAGCTCTTAATATTATAACAATTTACTGTGCCGAATAATGACAGAAACTAACGGCGAGATTATTCACAATGTTTTGCAAATGAAGCTGCATATATAAACGCCAAGGAATAAGTACTTCTCATCCTGTGTCAAGTCAAAAGGGGCAAATAAATTATTACAAAACTGTAATGTACGAGCTACATTAACTGGAAAGTAAGGACATAAAGTGAAGCAAAACATTGACTTCTTACTGTAATGTAATGGTTACTAAACTTACATGATCTTGAGAGAGAATTACTTGATGCTCAGAGAGTATACAGATGTTCTTGGATTGTTTTAATGTAACATATAATGAAGCAAAAAATTTTGAACGTACATTCAATCTCTTACAATTCAAGACTGTATACCATAAAAGAAAATGTTGCCAAGTTTCACGTTAAATATTCTCAAAGTATTAAAGTTACCGAAGTTACAGATTTTTTAGCTTAACTTTAGCTGAGAGTGTTTGCAGCCGAGGATATGAAAACAAGTTGTGGGTTGATAATTTGGCCGCAAATAACCTCGGTTTAATAGAACGAAGTCATAGATTCTCTGGTTTCACTTTAGCTGAGGACGTTTATGGCTGGAAGTGTTGCAATCTGATAATTAGACATCGGATTATATGCACTAATAATATGACAAAATATGCATGCAATTATGTTTTTTTTTGTAAGCTGAAAATGACCTTTCTATGTCTACTGAAGTCATTGGACAGAATTTAAAATATGGCGTCATCTCTGGAGTTATCTCTTGCGGCAGGCTTTGACCCGTGCCGTTTATAAATGCATTAATTTTCTTGATTTCTTCGATGCCTGGGTTTTTATGTAATACAGCATTTAATTTACCACGCACATTTTCCGATAGTGATGTAGGAAGGGCATTTACCTGTTTGACAATTTTGTCTAATATTTCTATAGACTTGAACAGAGGAAGGTTTCGAGTTTCCAATTTTTGTATGGCGTCGGGCATGTTGCTGAAATGAGTTGTAATTGGAGCTATATTTTGTTTGATGGAAGCGTCTTCAAATGCTAACTGACTTGAATAAATTGCTGTGGACTCTGAACAAGCAAATTGACCAACTACTTGTTTTATAGCCTTAAAATTCTCTGCATAAAACAATCCAGCCTTCAACCAAGTACCCCATCACGTTATTACAGATTCGGGAGGTAGTACTAGATTTGGCAGTTGCTCTTTGTAAGCTTGTATACGCAATGGTGCTTTTAAAAACACTTTCTATATCGATGAAATCAATTTATTAACATTCGGAAACTCTTTCCTAACTTCTTCTGCAAATCGGTGAAGTCCATGTGCTAAATAGGTGACATGTATAAACTTTGGATAAAACACTTGTAGAGATTGTCCAGCTTTTACCACATATGGAGCAGTGTCAGAAACAAAAACACATATTTTTTCAATAATAGAAGAATCGGGAAACAATGATTTAATGGAATCATTTATGAATCGAGCAGTGGGGAGTGGACGGCTATTTGGATAATTTCATCAGCTAATATCTAGAGCAAATTGTTTGCAAGATCGGCACGGATTTCATTATACACATCTTCATAGATTGCTGACAGGTAGTTTTTTCGAATCGTAGATTCTTCAGGGACTATCTGATTTGTACAGTACATCTTAAGGAATGTCTGGCATGCAGGATTATTTAGTTGATGAAATGGTTGTTCTAATTAATATTGGTGTAATATTAATTGCCTTTTATGCCATTAATTAGTATGGTCTGTATGGACTTTATCGTTTTACATGCATATCTTAATAAATTAAACTCATTCTAAAAAACAAGTTTCCTAACACTCTTTTTTCACTTAAAAAACTAAGCATGGACGATCAACAAACTTGAGTACCAAGAAAACATTAATGACTATAGTACCATAAAGTACAAATATTAGATTCCGAATTATGACCTGACTAGACTACAACATTCCGTGGAAGATTAACAATTATACAAACAATGACTAGATTTTGCATTTACTTACATCAGCATTTGAATTCAGCCTAATCCATCATTGTACTAGCGCTCCGAAAAATATCGCTTTAACCAGAGATCTTACAAATAACAACAAACGGCAACATTAACTAGACTTTTCCTTTTATAGGCACCAAGAAACAGACCAACGCACACCACTCTATTTAATTAGAAGCTTAAGACTAGAAAATTTCACATAATGGCTAAACTATAACCCCTCTTTTTTTCTTTATTACAGGTTTTAGGGTAGGTCCTATCATCATCATCACATGCAGGTAAGACAACAAATATCCTGCCCGCAATCCCTCCTCCCTCGCAACCCAATCCATCTCCTCCACCCCTCTTAGTCCCAGACTGTCCAATAACTCCCTTCTGTACACCTCATACAATACACAACCCTGTACCTAGGGCACCAGTATTCCCCTCTCCTCGCACTCCCACCTATCTATCTCCACCAAACCCAAATCCATCAGCTTATCCTTTATGGACCCGTATCAAAACAAACCCATATGGAGACTGGACATACTGACCTCATACTCTCCCCTTGTCAAATTCCGCCCATCTTTCCTGTCATAACCTTCTAGTTAGGTCCTTCATCCGCTTCTTTCGAACTTATTCCAACTACAACATGTTGCGGTAGTTTCAAATTGGAAACGTGAGGTCGTTAAACTCTACACCTTCTATATATTTCTTCCATATAGAATAATATTATTACTATTTATATTTACTTGTCTCTATATCTTTATCCTCTTTTATTTCTGTAGTCTGAGCTGGCAGTATGTTTCTGTTTTTTTTTTAATTTTTTAATTTTCTTGGCTTTTTGACATTCATTAGACAAATCAGAATAGTTCTGGTGATAAACAATTTTTTACGTTAAAGTTTGCCTTCTCTTTTTCAGATGACAACAATTTTCATTTTTATTATTGCAACTTCCAAACATTTCTTTTCACAAATAACCCATACAATTTCACACCGCCTGAATGTCTTTTTGTCGTCATCGTTCTTGATATTTTAATATTGTCTTGGAGATATTGTATGATGGATGTATTATACATCCATCAGGCACATATTTGGGAGTATGTCGAGGTACAAAAAAT